GGAGACAAAAAGGTGGATCGTCATTTCGTTGTCAGCGTTGAGGAGGAACGAGTCGTCAGACTCACTACAGAGACTTATATTCGTGACCACGCCATCGAACACATTCGTGTCCTAATGTCTAAGCCGACCACGTGCTTCAGTACCTTTGTTCTTAAACCGGTCGACGGTGATTTAATGTATGATATTATCTTCCCCCTTGTGCATCGCATACTATACACACAGTACGGGACGGTTGCTCGGGACGACGTTTGGCGCCTGGTTGTGTCAACGCCCTATCTTGTCTCCGATGGCGAGGATTTCTCTGCCATGTTTTATCCTTGCAGTGCGATCCAGCGATGAGTACCATTCGTTTTTTTTTTTCTATTTTTCTTCGTTGTTGGAGAGAGATAAAATGATGGTTTCAAAGATTGTACATTTTGTGTATACATATGCAATCGTCATCTCCCATGTGTTTGTTATATATTTTTAATTTTTTTTATTCGCCTGCTTTGCGTTTTGAATTTTGTTTTCGTTTTCATAATGTGGAGGTACAGTACTAAGGTAATCGCTGCCCGTAATGTTCTGTTTTGTAGATTTCTAAAAATTAACATATAAGCGACACAACAATATTCACTCATTCCCATACATGGACCGTCGACGACGCAGGGCTGGCATGCGGGCCGACGCAGTTGTATTTGAAAACGGGACAGATACAGATCCTTTTCGCGACGAGGAACTTACAGTCGCCGAGATTAGGAGTCGGTGGCCGGGACTCGCAGCGCTTTTGGAGCAGGCTGTGACTTTTGCTGGGCTGGAGGAGCTTCTGCAATAGTGCATGAATCTGCTTATTGGTCGTGCAAATCTCGAACCAAAGCAGAATCGTTACAATGGATATGTCGTTTTTACTCTGCTGTGCGGGTTCGTCGTTTTCCGACAGAGATTGCCAGATGAGTTCCAAACGGCAATGCGGGAACGATAGCCAGATACAATCATTCGAGGTTTTGAACTACGACAATGTGATCCTCCTGAAAACGCGCGTCCACGTCGACGTGCACGGCGGTAAATGCTTCACGACACGAGAGATAGATAGATAGATAGATAGATAGATAGATAGATAGATAGATAGATAGATAGATAGATAGATAGATAGANTAGATAGATAGATAGAGAGAGAGAGAGAGAGAGAGAGAGAGAGAGAGAGAGAGAGAGAGAGAGAGAGAGAGAGAGAGAGAGAGAGAGAGAAAGAGAGAGAGAGAGAGAGAATATGCTTGCCTTCAGTATGAGTACGTATGTAAGTCCGACTGTGTGTTTGCCTTGAAACTGACATTTCGTTAAAACTGACATTTTTTTGTAAAATCACGAAAGTGGACTCAGTCAAAATTTCATTGCTCATCGGGTGAGAAAGTGTTTATCTCACTTTGTCTATCTGATGTACCTCAACGTAAAATACTGTTAACATACATCCTATGGTCAGATCATCGGAGTCACCACGACACCCGATGATCTGATCATCCAAGGTCATGGGGACAAAAAAACACTCAAAAATGTTGTTTTTTGTTACGTTCGATTTCATGAATTTAGAAAAAGATCCTAGTTTTAACGAAATGCCAGTTTTGAGTGTGTGTGTGCTATCGTAAACGTAAGCGTGGGGGTTACTTTTTGTGTGCCCCGTAACGGCCCGTGCTTGTTCGACAGGCCATCAGGCCCGGTACTTACCTATTGTCGTGACTTGCAGGGATTGCATTACGTAAAATTTGGTTTCCCTGGTGTACATCATCTTCTTCTTCTTATAATCCTCGATCTCTCATTTGAAGTTCATTTATTTCTTTTCGCAATTGTATGTCATTGTACCATTGGCTATGAAGTCTGAGCGATTCTAATCCTCGCTCTCGCCACTCAAGTTCATTCATTTAGTGTTGCAACTGGATGTCATTGTATTATTGGATGAACGTGAAAATCTGAATTTGTTCGGCTATAGAATGTAAAACAACTATTGCCTAAGAGCGTAAGCATGTGAAGTATGGATGTATGTGTAACTCGACATTGGTCCGATACTATTTATACACACAGGAGTACAAAAAAAAAAAAAAACAAAGCATAAGAGATAAGATACTATCAGATGTGTGAAATATATATATATATCGTCACAAATAGAACTGCCCGGTAAACCGTAGGCAGAGAGAGAGAAGAGGACAACAAACGAGGGGCTGTGACAAACTGTTTCGTCGGAGTTTCACCGACTCATATATATCACTTGGTTGTCTGACGATTATTTCTGGCGCTCACACACAGACAATCTCAAACACGCCCACACATGCATAAGAAGAGGGGGAGAGGTGACAGAGTTAAAACTGCACAAAGACAAGGATAAGCAGCGGAATTCAACCATGCACACATGGGGAAGGTCACACAATGACTCTCACTCTCCGACAGACTCCCAACAAACAATCACAATAAAGAACCTCAACAAGATCACAATTGATATGATACTGATGATGAGCCAACTCGAACGAATATCATAACAGAGTTTGTTCCAGTCCCTTGCTCCCCAATCGATTTCCCTCATTCTACTAATAGAGTACATTACTCTAACCTACACTTAGACCGGACTGACTAACCGACCAATACCGTTGCAGTTTCGGCCTCTCGGCCTCTACCGGACCCGACTATAAGCTATAGAACCGTCTATCAGCTTAGGCCATTAGGGTCTGTCTGTCCTGGGGGTAGTCCGGGCCTGCTATTCGCAGCAAGGGTACGTATAGGAAATTCGAATTACTGTTGGGTCTATATTTCCCATATTTACAGATATGACCCTCACGAATTTTCCTCACAGGTTCGTCTCACGGTTAGCCCTCAGTCGAACAATATTACAAATGTAACCCTACGGGGTAGTATACAACTGTGTAGCACGGCGAACGTGTTCGCAGCCCTTTCTGTTCAGGCGAACACGTTCTCCCGTTCGCGCAAATGGGTCGAGAACACGTTCGCGAGAACGTATTTTCGAGGCCCGCGAACGGGGTTCCCCTGGGCCGGTACCGGTTGTCGGCGAGGCTTTGGAGGGGCCTGGGGAGCGGCGGTGTGTGTGTGTGTGTGTGTGCGCGCGCGCACCCCGATAAATAGGATTAAAAAAAGGATTTGGAGAGGGCTGGCTTAGGTAGCCAATGGTGCCCCTTCCTTCTAAAAAATCGAAGGGCACAGAAAAAAAAATAAGGCCCACGTATTCCTTGTTAATCGTTTTTTTCTCGAAACACCCCAGCAATGCATCTGCAAGGGTCCCAACATCTCGAGAGATGTTGAGCGAAATTCGTGTGAGAGACGAGCAGGCCAGCAATATATGTTCAGGTTTCGAAGTCAGGTGACTCAGGTCTTCTTCCTAGCAGTGTTCCAGCAGAAGATTCATTTCCCAATTTCCCCTCTTTCTTTTGTTTCCTTTTCGTACAAGCAGTGGCCCTAAGGGCCTTGCTCCACTCGTCACCTGTTGCACAAAAGACAAAACATATGGCTACGTATGGTTCCATGTTCGAGCAGAAGATTCATTCTTCTCTTTCTTTTGTTTTGTTTTTTTTCTTTTTTTCTTTTTTTTTTTCTTCTGTTTCGTTGTCCTACGAGCAGTGGCCCTAAGGCCTCATGTACCTACCTGGGCAAGCTTGGCGCCCGCCACCTAGAGATATACCGTTGGTCCCCCCAAGTGGCATTAAAAAGGCAGTCTCTGCTGATGTTCATAGAGGGAGGGGTACTCAGGGAGGCACAGCGACTGGCCACTCAGATGATGCTCGGTCCCTCTCCTACTGGATGTCCCCTGGCCTAGGCAGTCTCTGCTGATGTTCATAGGGGGAGGGGTACTCAGGGAGGCACAGCGACTGGCCACTCAGATGATGCTCGGTCCCTCTGCTAC